GTAATGATGATGTCCCCGTTGTTGTTAATGATAATGCCCCCGCTGCTGTAGGTAATGATGGTGTCCTTGGGCCCTGTAGAGCTTCTCTTGCAGGGGCCTCATCTGAGAGCTTTCGGGGATCATCTGCATGGGCACCTGGGAGCTCGCAATCGGTCGGCTGCTCGCTATCACCTTTTCCCTCTGGCACCGTAGCAGTCTCGGGCGTCGAGGGCGCGCACCTCTAGCCCAGGGTGGCCACGACGCCAAAATCGGCTTGCGATACAAGGGGCAGCGTAAGGTGGCCGCTCGGAAGGGTGAGCAGATTGGCTCGGCGTCCGAGCTTCTTGACGAAAACAGCGTGTGCTTCGCAGTCGATCGCAGCTCCCAAGGGCGAGCAGCTTGGCTCGGCGCCCGAGCTTCTTGAAGAAAGCAGCGCATCACAGCTCCCAGGCGTCTCAAGACATCAGCTCCAATCGTTAGTGGAGGGCCGGCGTCAAGTATGTTGATCTCCAGCTCACCTTCTACACCGGCGAGAGTCAGTGGAAAGGTAGCCCTGCCGGTGCAGGTCTTGGAATTGCCGTCTCCAAAGATGAAGATATATTGCTGGTTGACGTCCATCTTGATGTTATTGAATTGCTTCGCTCACTCCAACGGCCCATTTCGCATGACTGAGCCTCTTGGGGCCGCTGGGGGGCCTCTTCAGCGTCGCTTGGGGGCCTCCTGAGGGCCTCTTGGGGGCTTTTGGGGCCTCTCAGGGGCCTCTTGAGGCCTCCTGGGGGCTTCTTAAGGCCGAGGGCTCGAAGTTTTGTTTTGTGTTCCCCCTTTGGGGCATCGCTTGGGGCCCTCTTGGGCCCCTCTTGGGCCGTCTTGGATGCCTCTGGGGCCGTCTTGGAGCCCTCTTGGGCCATCTTGGGGCCTTCTTGGGAGCTTCTTGGGCCCTCTTGGGGCGATCTTGGGGGCCTCTTGGGCCGTCTTGGGGCGTCGGGAAGCCGAAAAGATGGACACGCCAAAATCTGCCCAAAACCTAAGGAAAAGTAATGAATTTTGCCTCTTGGGGCCCTCTGGGGAGTGCTCTTGGAGGCCTCTTGGGGCGTCTGGGGGCCATCTTGGGCGTCTTGGAACGATCGTGTGGCATCTCGGAGCACTCTTGAGCCATCTTGGAGGGCTCTTGGCGGCCTCGTGGCCCTTCTTGGGGCTCTCTGGAGGGCCACGGGGGCGGCGCCCAGGAGGAAAACCATCTCTGACCCGAGTCTGCCGGGGATCGCCCGGGGTACTTTTCGTCCGGGGACCCCCCCGGGCCGCCCCGCGCGCGCGAAGTAGAAGTATTATTTAGCAGTTACCGGAGATCTTAGCACGCCTCTGGCCCGTTGGGCCGGCGAATTTCCCGTCTGTTCATAGATGATGTCACGTAGCTTCTCGGTGGCCTCGAAGCCCATGATGCTGGAGGTGGCGCCGATGTCCAGAATGCCGAAGCCCTTGGAGGCGGATTGCTTCACACTCATTAGCATTCACTCCTCGCCTTGCTCCAAGGTCGCCCAGATGGGCGCGGCCACCTGGCGATGTGCCAGCTCCTGCTCGTAGATCGAGTCGTCGGGCTGCGTCTCCACGTCCTGCTGAGCGCTGAAGAAGATGAAGTTACTGAAGCCCTTCTTCGGACGATCTCGATCTCCTCGGCTGCCGTTGGGTGAAACTCGATCTCGATGGTCTTTCATCTCATGGTTGCCTCCACACTTCAAGCACGGGCCCTTCGGGCTGGACGGGAGCATGGTCGATCACGTCGTGGACCGTCGCCGCGTCCTCGCCTTTTGGAAGACCCAGAGACTCGGGATGCCGTTCGCGGCCCATGGGGTTTCTTGTCGTGTGGCATGCGCTCCTTCTCCTCATCCACTGGGTAGAACTTCCTTGCCGTCTTCACTTGTCGAAGCAGGCCCCGAGCCTCCTCAAAGCTACGCTGCTGGGCTGCGAAAGCGGTCTCCGCCTCTTCGATCTCCTGGGCGCTGTAGAGGGGCTCCTCAGGATCCTCGGTATCGTCGGTATCGTCCTCTGGCTGGGTGTCGTAGAAGGCTTCCGACTCGTCGTAGCAGCCGTAGTTGTCCTCAATTTCGTCTTCGTCATCGTCCTGATCCCAGCCGGCATGGATTTTGCCACTATCCAGGTGACGGTGATCTTTGCCCTGCTTCTTGTCTCGATTCGTCAGCTCGTCGTCCGGCCAGGATACTCGCAACTGCTCTCCGATGCTGGCATAGTCGCCCTTCACGGCGCTGATCATTGCGACTCGCTCGGCCGGGGAAAATCTGGATCTCTGCAGCAGCAACCATCCGCGAAGCAGGTCAAGGGGAATCGCCTGATTGAAATCGGTTCCGAAATCGGGATGCTCTGGGATCTCCTCGAGACCAGTCTTGATGAAATTCCAGAGCTTGAGGTTCAAATCCTTAGCCTTCTCTGCAGCGTCCTCGGGGCCCTCCAACTCGATATTGTAGAGGAACCAGTTCAGCTCGGTGTAGATGTCGTTCCACTCCTTGGCCCGTTGGAAGAGACGCTGCTGTCTCTGCTTCTTGAAATATTCGGTGTCGAATCCTTTGACCACGTCGTGATACGCTTCGTCGTCACGGCTGTTGTAGCTCGGCATAGGCTCTCCAGTGTCGCGTCGCAGACCGAAGATCCATCTGGCCAAGTACTTGCCAGCGTCCTGGATAGGCTGGACACCGAGCTTGGCACGGATTTGTCGGAGCAACTCCGTGGCGCCGTCGTCTCTCTCGATACGGTCCCAGTCCACGTCCTTGGTGCCTGTCTGTCACGTTCCTCGAGTCGTCTCCATAGTCTAGGGCCGCACACATACAATTCCTCATGACCTGCTTCTCTGATGTACGCCTTGACATCTCGCTCGTAGTCGTCTGCCGTGGAGAGGTCTCCATTCCATCTGGGTGCGATGTCATTACCATGATTGTTCTTCGCCATTGCTCTGTAGAGTACTGTGGTCCGTAAATATGTCGTCCGTGGAGCTTGACTGCTCCGCTACCATGCAATGGTCTCGCTAGAACCACTGCCCTGGTAATTCGCCGGTCCAACGGGCCAGAGGCGTGCTAAGATCTCCGGTAACTGCTAAATAATACTTCTACTTCGCGCGCGCGGGGCGGCCCCTGGGGGTCCCCAGACGAAAAGTACCCCGGGCGATCCCCGGCAGACTCGGGTCAGAAATGGTTTTCCTCCTGGGCGCCGCCCCCGTGGCCCTCCAGAGAGCCCCAAGAAGGGCCACGAGGCCGCCAAGAGCCCTCCAAGATGGTTCAAGAGTGCTCCGAGATGCCACACGATCGTTCCAAGACGCCCAAGATGGCCCCCAGACGCCCCAAGAGGCCTCCAAGAGCACTCCCCAGAGTGCCCCATTATTCATTACTTTTCCTTAGGTTTTGGGCAGATTTTGGCGTGTCCATCTTTTCGGCTTCCCGACGCCCCAAGACGGCCCAAGAGGCCCCCAAGATCGCCCCAAGAGGGCCCAAGAAGCTCCCAAGAAGGCCCCAAGATGGCCCAAGAGGGCTCCAAGACGGCCCCAGAGGCATCCAAGACGGCCCAAGAGGGGCCCAAGAGGGCCCCAAGCGATGCCCCAAAGGGGGAACACAAAACAAAACTTCGAGCCCTCGGCCTTAAGAAGCCCCCAGGAGGCCTCAAGAGGCCCCTGAGAGGCCCCCAAAGCCCCCAAGAGGCCCTCAGGAGGCCCCGAAGCGACGCTGAAGAGGCCCCCCAGCGGCCCCAAGAGGCTCAGCCATGCGAAATGGGCCGGCGGAATGAGCGAAGCGATTCAATAATCCTGATGTGTACTTCTCTCCCGTCTTCTCGGATGACGTGCTGAGTATCTCGATATTGATGTATATGCGATCGGGCAGTGGGGAGCGCGATGCTGATCGCACACTGGTCCTCGAAGGGAGCCGCTTCTCGGTTGCGGGCCAGCTCGCCATCCTGCGCCTCACGGGCGCACACCAGAAGTCCGGCGACATTCTCTCGCTGCAAAGGCTTGAGAGGCTTGAGCCAAGACGGTTTCGGTAAAAACATCTTGGGGAACACGTGAAACATAAGTAATTAGCCTCTGGGGCTTGGGTCTCTACGAGGGCTCTCGGGGAGACCATAAAGCATGGCTAGGCTGCAAATAGAGAGTAGGAAACACGATACTCCGTGCAACGCAGACTTACATAAAAGAGGGGCTCCTGTGGAGCCCGAGTGTACAGCACTCGGCCTCTAGCGGCCATCTGTCGTAAGTGGGCTCTAGTCAGGCAGGCTCTGGCTGTGAGTTGCACCCTCCTCCCCCTCCCGCAGCTCCTCCCCGTCTTCTTTTCGCCCTCCCCCCCTCCTTGGGTGGGAGGGTAAGATGTCAGATACGGCGTGAGCACACCCAGCTTGTCCCCCTTCCCTCGTCCCCTCCTCCTCCCCCTCCCCTCTTCCCCCCCTCCACCCTTCGTAGTCCGCGTTGCTGGCACCAGACTCATGTCAGGTCTGGTGACCATTGGGGCCAGGCATGTCTGCCTGAGGTTCCAAACCCGCCAGGGGAGGGGTGTGCCCGTCAAGCAGGTATTTCTCAACACCCGAGTGGATTGCGTAAGACCACCCGCGTGCCAGCGATTGGGCACAACCCCACAGAACGGCAGTCAGTGAGGGCGGAGGGGAGGAGGGATGAGAGTTCAGGAGAGAACCCTCAGTTCCCCCCCCCGCCCCCTACGCTATCCCTCTGCTACCTCTGCGATCCTTAGGATGTAGCTCTAGGGAGGTCAAATTCAGCATCAGCGCCAGACACCAACCAAATCTGACATGGTCCCGCTTTATCAGGCGTAATCCCGCCCAATCCAGCTTGCTCCGGCGAAGTCCTGAGCTCGATTTGGGCTCATGGCCTGTTGACCGGGCTTGACAGCCTCTAATCCTTCCCACGAAGGCCTCTCTTCGTTACCACGAAGACCTCCCAAGAGTTGCCTCCCTGCCCCTTTGCTGTCTCCCTTGACTGTGCCCGCCCTCTCGCCCGCCCGCCCCCGCCGCAGGTGGCCCGCGAGTGCGCCCAGCGCTGCGAGCAGGCGGAGGGGGCCTGCAACGAGCGCGCCGCCGCCGTGCAGGAGGCCAGGGCACTGTCCGAGTCCCGACGATGCTGCTGCTGGGGCTGGTGATGCTGCTGCTAATGCGGATGCCGTTGCTGCCGGCGATGATGACGTGAATGATGATGACGGCGATGTTGATGTGGATGTTGATGATGAGGATTGATGATGACTATGATGATGGTGATGCTGATTACGATGATGGTGATGGTGATGCTGCTGCTGATGATGATGGTGGTTTCGATGATGATGGTGATGATGAGGAGGGTGAGGATGATGCCGAGAATGTTGTTGCTGATGATGCTCCTATTGAGGATGATGCTGAGGGGGATGCTGATGATGATGAGGTTGTTTCTGATTGTGATGGTGTTGCTGTTGATGCTGATCATGATGATGAGGAGGAGGAGGCGGATGCTGATGATGATGAATATGATGATGCTGGTGCCGCTGCTGATGTTGATATCGATGTTGCTGCTGATGGTGATGTTGCTGATGATGTTGGTGAGGCAGATGCAGACGTTCGATGATGCGGATGATGCTGATGTTGATGTTGTTGCGGTTGATGATGATGATGATGATGATGATGATGATGATGATGATGCTGGTGATGATGATGATGATGATGTTGATGATGATGATGGATATGATGATGATGGATATGATGATGATGATGATGGATATGATGTTGATGATGTTGATGGTGATGACGGCGACGACGACGATGATGATGAGGAGGAGGAGGAAGAGGAGGAGGAGGAAGAGGACATTGATGATGTTGAGGCCGATGATGCTGCTGTTGATGGTGATGCTGATGCTCATGCTGCTACTTAGGCTGATGTCAATGATGGTGATTTTGATGATGATGATGATGATGATGATGATGATGATGATGATGATGATGATGATGATGATGTTGCTAGTGATGTTGGTGTTGATGTTGATGATCCGCATGACGAGGTATAAGATGCTGAGGATGCTTACGCTGATGCTGATGCGGATAAGGATGATGCTGCTACTGATGAGTATGACCATGAAGCTGATGCTGTGTATGCGGATGATGATGATGATGATGATGATGATGATGATGATGATGATGATGATGATGATGATGATGATGATGATGTTGCTGATGCTGTTGATGCTTACGCTGATGCTTCTGCTGATTTCGATGAGGATGATAAGGATGGCGGTGATGAGGATGGTGATGGCGGACGTGGTGATGATGATGATGTTGGTGATGTTGGTGATGGTGTCGCACAACCATGACGATGACAACGATTATGCTGATGATGACGAGGCCTTTTGGCGCGCTCTTGGCTCCTCTTGGGGCCCTCTTTGGCCGTCTCGGAACCATCTTCGGGCGCCTTGGAACACTCTTGGCCTCGGCAATGCAAATACGGGGTAGTCTGCGAGGGTTTATGGCCCGGCGAACGCGACATTGTGTAATTTACGACGGTATGTTGCCTCGGGGACGCAACATTGTTGTATACTTTGCGAGGGTTTATGGCCTCGGGGACGCGGTTGACGCGTCATTTACAACGGACTATATGTTTTCAGGACGCGAATATGGAATACATTGCGAGGGTTTGTTGCTTCGGGGACGCAAGAATGGTTTAATTCTCTTGCACAGGGTGTCTAGAGCTCCGACAATTTTATTTCGGCACGGCACTGGTCGATGCAGCCCCTAGGCCCCCACCTCCCAGCGTGCCCCCTCCGCATCCCCTTTCTAAAGCAGCCGTGCCGAAGCAGCCCCTCGGCACTCCCCCACCAGCCCGCGCAGCCAGCCCGCCAGCCAGCGCGCCCCCTCGGCACTGGTCCCACCAGCAAGCGCGCCCGCTCCGCCCTGACCACTTTATTTCGGCAGGGCACAGGTCCCACAAGCCAGCGCGCCCCCTCCGCCACGACCGCTTTATTTAGGCACGGCACCGCCCCCTCTCCCCCACCAGCCAGCGCGCACCCTCCGCCCCGACTTCTTTATTTCGGCACTGCACCGCCGCCCCCCCCCCGCACCACCCGCGCAGCCAGCCCCTCCGCCTCGACCCCAGCGCGCCCCCTCCGCCCCGATCGCTTTATTTCGGCACGGCACCAGTCCCACCAGCCAGCGCGCCCCTTCCGCCCCGACCGCTTTATTTCGGCACGGCACCGCCAACTTTCCCCACCAGCCAGCGCTCCCCCTCTGCCCCGACCGCTTTATTTCGTCAATGCACCGCCTCCCCTCCCCCACCAGCCAGCGCGCCCCCTCCGCCCCGACTTCTTTACCCACCAGCCAGCGCGCCCGCTCCGCCCCGACCGCTTTATTTCGGCAGGGCACCGGTCCCACCAGCCAGTGCGCCCCTTCCGCCCCGACCGCTTAATTTCGGCACGGCACCGCCAACTTTCCCCACCAGCCAGCGCGCCCCCTCTGCCCCGACCGCTTTATTTCGGCAGGGCATCGCCCCCCCCCGTACCCCCCGCCTCAACCCCAGCGCGGTCCCTTCCGCCCCGACTTCTTTATTTCGGCACGGCACTTGTCCCACTTGCCAGCGCGCCCCCTCCGCCCCGACCGCTTTCTTTCGGCACAGCACCGCTCCCGCCAGCCAGAGCGCTCCCTCCGCCCCGACCGCTTTATTTCGGAGGTTTGTGGCCTCGGACGCAAACATTGTGTAATCTATATGGCCTCGGGGGCGCGAATCTCATGTATTTTCACGTTTCCCACGCCCCCTGGGAATTTAGAGCACGCGATCCGAGGGTGGTAAATTGCTCCTTTGGGGCTCCCCCCCTCGCGCGGACAATTGAGCACTGCGCTGGCATTGCACTGGAGGAGACTGCAACTGGTGCAGAGAGCAGAAACCTAGCCCTGCAGCCTGGTGGCCCCACACGGGGGCCGGCGGATTCCACAACATGAACGAACTGAGGAGTAAGTCTCGGCGATGAGTTGCGATGTAACCTATATTTCATCAGTGATGGCCTGATCGTGCGATGTGGTCACGTGCGGCGGGGCGGCGATAGCTCATCATGCCGTATCATCGGCTGATTTGAATACAGGTGGTGACGATAACGGTGCGGGAGCGCGGCGGAATGCTTGCAAGTTCTGTTTGGTCGTTTACTCTGTGTGTTACAGTTCGGTTTTGTGGTCACATGATTTCCTATTGTTTCATCTGTTAATACTGTCCTGCGTTTGATCATCAGCCCATGCAGAAACTCTTCCACCTCCTTCTCGGTATTTTCATCCTTCTCATCCCGCTCGATATCCCTTCTTCCATCAGAGCATCCATCACACGTCCTCCGCTCTTTCTCCTGGTTCCGCTCAGGCTGATTCAACACTTCGATGTGACTGGCCTCCCCAGCTCTCTGCTCCACAGCATGCCCACCCCACTTCCCTGATCCAGGCAGCTTGCCTGGGAAGTTTTTGGATGGGCTGGTGGGGATGCGCGATACGCGTCCTCTGGGCTCCAGGCCTCCTAGATAGGGTCCGAGTAGGTGGGGTCGGAGAATCGCGCCGCATCGCCGATGCGGCTTCGTGTGGAGTCCGATTTGCTTCACGTCGACGTCGCCGACGCGTCGCCGACGCGTCAAGAGTTTAGGTTCATCGCTCACCCTTGTTGTGCGCGTTCCGCGCGGCGGCAGCCATCGGCTTCTTGGATCCGCCGCTGCCTGCTCTCGATCTCACGATTTGCTCTTACTCGTGCTGTATGGGCTCCGACCTTCCTGCCCGCCACCTGCGACCGACCGACCGAGCGGAAAGAGGGGGAGCAGGAGGAGGAGGAGGAGGAGGAGGAGGAAAAGGAGGAGGAGGAGGAGGAGGAGGAGCCTCCGCCCTCGCGTCTCAATTCTCGAGCTGCTGTTGCCTCAACTCGCCCTTCTCCGAGACAAGGGTGGGTCGGGACAAGGGGGAGGGAGGGAAGGAGGAGTGAAGAGTGAGAGTGGGAGAGGCTGGGAAGGAGGGCGAGAGAGGGCCAGAAGGAAGGGAGAGCCCGTAACAGGAGCTAGGTGGGACTGCTCTCTCTTTTTGTTGCAGGCCAGTCTCGTCGAGGATGCTCTTGCCGAGGAGTCTACCGGAGTCCACAGTCAAGCGCGTAAAAGACGCCCCTACCCTGGGTTATGAGGCGCTGAACCTCCTGTGGGCTGACCGGGTAAACCCTGCGTATCGCGCGTGCCGCGCGGCGTCCTGGCGGCTCTCTGGCCTGTGGGAGCTTCCACGAGGTTTACTGACCGTGCACTTGTAACCCAGGGTAGGGGCGTTTTTTCATCCCTCGACACAGGAGCCTCCACCCTCGCCAGTCGCGCCGTTTTGGCTCCCTGCCCTCCCTTCCGTCGCCGCTGCTCTCCTGGGGCGGCAGCCGGGTGCCCCAGGGAGCGCGCCCTCTCGGCCAGGCCGCCGCGGCCGCGGCGCGCGAGCTGTGGGAGGCGCACCAGGGCGTGATCGGCGAGTGCAAGGCGTCGATGGCGTCCCTGAAGGAGATCGCTGGGGGCCCGTGCGACTCCTCCCGCTCGATGCGGCTGCTCCGGCTCGATTCGGTTCGCCGTCGATCGACGTCGATCGGTGCCGAGCGTGGGAGCGACGAGCCACAGAGGGGGACGGGATGTCATGGCCAGGGCCATGATGATTCTCAGATCACATGGCCCCCGCTTCTTGTGCCATCCCGTCTCGTTGGCCCCCCCCCACGGGCCCCGTGGGATCGCGCCACACCGCCGATGCATCGGCGATGCGGCTCGATGTGGAGCTCGATTCTCTTCACGCCGACGTCGCCGATGCATGTCCGACGTCGCCGGTGCATCGCTGATGCATGGCCGACGCATCGCCGACACCTCGGGGACTCATCGGCGGCGGCCCAGGAGGGCTCCGAGAGGTCCTCCAGGATGGCCCGACGGGCCACGTCCACTGATTTCCCCGCCGCCTGCGGGAAGTCCCGCCACCTGCCCTTGGGTGGCGGCTATTCAAGGGGACGCGGGGGCCGTAACTTGTGACAGTTCGTGTCTGCAGGCTTGGGAGAGCCATTGTGAGAACGATGTTGATTCTAATAGTAAGAAGGGGGATGGGGGAGGGGATGATGCCGAGACGGCGGTGATGATACCGATAATGAATGATATTATGGTGATGGTGATGACGATGCCGACCACGAGGAGGAGCAGGATGAGGAAGTGGAGGAGCAGGACGAGGAGGAAGATGCAGGCCGTCACATGTGAAAACTTTCGTCTCCACAAGTTGAGCAGTTATTATGGAATTCGGTTAGGCCGTCTGGGGGCTGTCTAGGCCTCCCGTGAGGCAGTGTCGGGGGTCCCTTTGGGCCCTTTTGGGCTGCTTGGGGCTTTCTTGCGCCGTCTTGGGGCTCTCTTGGGTCATGTTTGCGACTCCTCTTGGCCGTATGGTGGGTGTCTGGGGGCCACCTTTTCGTGCCATCTTGTGCCGTCGAAGTTCCTTCCAAGGCTGTCTTGGGTTCTGCGGGAGGCCTGATTGGGCCGTCTTGGGGCCGTCTTGGATGCCTCTTGGGCCATCGCGGGGTCCCCTTGGGCTATCTTGGGGCCCTCTTGGGGGCCTTGGGCCGTCTTGAGCGGACGGAAACCCGAAAAGGCTACAATACGAGACTTATTCAACAACCCAAAAGAACTCAGTGATTCTGGCTCCTTCGGGCCTTGTTGGAGGTCGTTGTTAGAGCCATTGGGTCATTTTGGCGGCATCTTAGGCAGTCTTACTTATCTGTCGGCGTCGCCGCGGACGTTGTCAGTGTGAGTCAAACGCTCGCTTACCCAACATCGGCCCCTATTTGTTTACGATGGCATTTGTTCTGGGGCATCGTGCCCATCTGGTGCGTGCGGGGTCAGGGCGGTCCTGGGTGGTCAGGGGGCTCTTATCCACCGACGGCTGGCCCAGGGCGGGCCTGGCAAGGACCTGTGCAGGAGATTCGCTTCTCCCCCCTGGGAGAGCGCAGGGGTGGGAAGAGCGGTGTGGAGAGGCGGGGACGCATGCCACGCTGGACGACGACAAAGACGACGGCGTGGCCGATCACGAGGAGGAGGACGACGACGACGATGCCGCATCAGCATCCAGCTCGCGAGCTTCGCCATGCGATATCCGCACCTGTTGGTGTATTCATATTTCGACGGCTCGCCCTCTCCAGCCAGGTCCCGCTAATACACCGCTTAGTGTGGGCACGACGGATCCGCCTCGCCGCCGCCACCGTCGTCGTCGTCGTCGTCGTCGTCTTCGTCTTCGTCGATTCGTCGTCGTCGTCCTCGGCTTCGAGGGTGAGCTTGCTGTCAGGGTGGAGGATGTGGTGGTGGTGGTGGTGGTGGTGGTGGTGGTGGTGGTGGTGGTGATGGTGGTGGTAGGCGAGAGCGCTGAGGATGTGGAGGAGGATCAGGAGCCACAGGTAGAGGGAGGGAGGGAGGGACGGAGAGAGAAGCCTGGAGGGAGTAGGAGAAGAAGGGCTGAAAAGGAGGAGCAGAGGGAGTGAGGATGCATCATTGAGGGAGGTACGGAGGAGAAAGTGGAGGAGGCAGGGATGGCCTGGCCGACCCTCCCTGTACTCCTCCTCGCCCTCCTTCGCGAGTCCGAGGACATCCTCGACGCCAAGGACCGGCTGGGAGAGCAGCTGGAGGCCCTGAAGCAGCAGCAGCGGCAGGAGGACCGGAGCGAGATCCTGGCCGCGCGGCCCAGTGGACTTTCGGGAGGCGGGCATCGAGGCTACAGAAGAACCGAGGTAGAAGATCGGGGTCGGTTCGGGGAGGATGCCCCAGTGTTCTTCATGTTTGTTTTGATGTTTTGGTGCATCCTGGGGAGGGTACCCTTGGATGTCCTGTCTGTTTTGGCCGACGGATGGACTCACTGTCTTGAAGGGTGTTCCTCTGTCCTAGATCCGACTGTACTGCCGCTGTGTGTGCGGCGCCCCCCGGGGGCGACGCGCACGCCAAGAAATATTGCAGCATATGCTCGGTGGCGGGCGCTTTCTGGCCACACCACTCGGAGACAATCTACTACATGATGATTGTACGGTATGGCCGGGTCGGACGCACGCCTCCGAAGAGGACACATCGTACTAGTACGTCACTGTGCGTCCCAAGACAGGCTGGGCTGACATCAGTGGGTCGGGCCTACCAAGCTGAGGGCTGAGGGTACCCTTCCGTCCTGTGCACCTTGCATCGCGTCCTCTGCCTTCGCGGGGCAAGGGTGCCCCTGTGTCCTCGTGTTTTCGGGGGGCCATGCTGCCGTGGGAGGAGTCTCGTGTGCTGTCGCGCATCCCGTGCGGTCAGCCCTGCCTGTGCAGCTGGCGCGAGGCCCAGTACAGCCCAGACGCTGGGACAAGGACCACGTTGGGCCTGGGAGGGGGCGCGGTGCTCGGGCCGCTCCTCAGATTTGGGTCGTGGGGCCTGCTCGTGCCCAGGGCTCGCCGCGGTCAGAAGAGCCCCCTGCTCTTTCCTGTCTTCAGCGCTCCTGCTGGCAGCACGGTGGCCGCGACAGTCCCAGCTCCGGAGGGGCCGCTTCCTGTACAGTCAACCCGCATAGTGGGGACGGGCGACTCTCCAGGGTTACCCTGGCACCCCTTCCCATCGGCCCATCCTTGGCCGCCTTCGCTGGCCGCGCCCCGCCCGCAGGGTGTCGACATGGCCTTGCAAGGCCCCTGCATGCTTACCGCGCGCCCTTATCATACGGGTTGACTGTACCTGCTTTGCGCCTGGGCCCTCCCTTGGGACGCCCTCCGGTCCGCTCGGGGCAGATCCACGGCCCTCCAGGTGCTTTCGTTCTCGTGGCCATGGCCATGCGACGTACAGATGGACCGAGGCATACGATCGAGGTCGGTTCGGGGAGGATGTTCTTCGTGCTCGTTGGGATGTTCTTGTGCATCCTGGGGAGAGGGTGCCCTCGGTGATCTTATGATTTGGGGCGCTTTGGCTGGCGGAGGGTCTCACGTTCTGGCAGGATTCTCTGCGGGCCTGGCTTCGACTGTGCAGCCAACACGACGAGCAGAAGGCACGGCGTCGGGGGCGCTCTGGTCTTCGGGCCCGCTCGCCTGGCCTGGGGACCGGGGAGCCTGTCCGCGGCCGAGGCTCGCCGTGGGGGGAGGAGGAGGCGGCGAGGGCGGGAGCGGCCGCGGGGGGGCCAGGCGATCGCAGACGTGGAGCAAGGGGGGCGCACGATCAGCGGCGGGTCCCGCTCCCGCGGGGAGTCTCGGATCTCCGCCGCCGAGCGAGGCGGCAACCGGCCGCATTTTGGGGAGGGCACCTGCCCCGACCCATGGATCTGGCGAGCGCGCCAAATCCACGGATCGCCAGTCCATGTTGGCGCGCCCCCGACGAGGAGAGGGAGCGATAGAAGCGGAGAGGAGCCCCTCCGCCCCTTCCTCCACTGCCTCCCTCGAGGGAGCGCGAAGATGGAGGAATCCTTGACGCTGCGCGCATCCTCACCAGACAGCCTGCCCCTGCCTGCCCTGCGTCCGACCCGCTTCGCGCGCCTGCGAACCAAAAGTGTCCCCACCAGCACGGCCCGCCCTAGCTTTGCCCGGCTTTCGACTTACTTCGCGCGCCTGCCAACCAAAAGTACTCCCACCAGCCCATCCAGAAACGATGCCCATGAGAGCTGAGGGGGGGAGAGGATGAGACACGCATAGTCAGCCCATTCAGAAGCCCTGGGACGTCTGAATGGGCTGGCCATCTCGAGCCGTCTTGGAGCGGTCTTGGAGCCTCTTGGAGCATTTTGGGAGCCATCTTGAGCCAGCTTGGGCTATCTTGAGCCATCTTGGAGGTCATCTTGGGCTCCCTGAGGCCGCTCGGGGGCCTCTTGGGGGCCCCTCGGGGGCCTCTTGGAAGCCTCTTGGGGCCTCTTGGGGCGCTCTTTGAGCCCTCTTGGAGACCATCTTGGAGGCGGTCGGTCAAAAGAGGGGGGTCCTCGATTTCCCTCCCCTCCTCGGGGGCCACGATCCTCGTGAGAGGTGTCAAAAACTGGCATTCCCAGGGGCCGAAAAAGAACTCTCTGACACATCGGGCCCCCTCCCCCCCAACAAAAACCAGGGAGGGCAGGGGGAGGGCTCCCCTGCCCGAAGGGACGAGAAATCGTGGAAGAGGAACGAGACCCTCCTTAGACCACCTGTCGCCCAGAGGGCTGGTGGGATTAGGGCGCGTGGATGGGCGACGGGCCTCGTTTCCAGAGGGAATCGGCGCGCTCCGTCGCCAGATCAGGTGGTGTTGGCCTCCTGTTTCGGGGGCACCTTTCCCGGTTCATGGATCTGGCACCAGCGCGCCAGATCCACGGATCCCTTATCCATGTTGGCGTGTACCCAACTCCTTGGCCCCTCTGCCTCCCAGCTCCCCCCCCCCTCCCCTGACTTCCCAGAGCGCTGAAAACTAGCCCTCCAGAGACCTGCGGATCTGTCAGAACAGACAACCTGGTCGGGAATGTACATGCAGAAGTCCTGGTCCTGGCTGTGCGCTGCTCGTGACAGCGCGGTGACTGCACGGTAGGCTCGTGTGGTGTCCTCGCGGCGGCGACCCCGGCGCGGGCGCTCAACGTTAAACTCGGCGGCAAGCGAGGGGGGAAGTGAGGAAGAGGAGGGCTTGTCAGAAGGCGGCGGGGCTTCTCAGAAACCCTCGCGCCTTCTGAGAAGTTTTCTGTGTTCTCCGGGAAGGCTTAGAACACTTCTCAGAAGGCTCGGGGACTTCCGAGCCTTCTGAGAAAGCTTTCTCCTTCTCACTTCCCCCCTCGCTCGCCGCCGATAACTGCCGTAAGTGGCATAGAATCTGCCCAAAACGGGCGATCTGCGCTCTCTGGAAGCCGCGATCTCGCAAGGGTGAACGGTGCACGCGGTGCCAGAGACCAGCCACCAGGACGCCACGGCATGAACAGGCAAGCTCCGCTCAACCCTCCGCGAACGCTGCGCCGCGACATCGACGGTCGCCGACTGGCGGGGTGGCGGGGCAGGGGGCGCTGCTTGGAACCAAGGATGGCGGTCGCAAGCCGCTACGTGTGACGACGCTTCATGCGCGCGAGCATGTCCCATCTAATGTAGGGCGTGTTACATCATTGGTCATATTTCCTAATCTCGTGATCTGAGTTCAGGAGTGGCTCTGAGTCTCGGGCCGCTCCGCAGGGTCAGGGCGGGGAGCCTCCTCGTGGTCGAGGCTTGCCGTGGCCAGAGGCGCCCCTTGCTTCCTTATTGGGAAGGCCTTGCGGCCGGTGCCGCACACCCTGAAGGGGAACGGCGGTGGCGGCGGCGACGACGCTGACGCTCTGGAGCCCTTCTTGGGGCTCTCTCGGAAGCCTCTTGGGCTCCGATGGGGGGGCCTTTTGGGGGAGTCCTTGGGACGCTCCGTGGTCACTTGGAGCCACCTCGGAGCGGATCCTTATTCCGTGTTGGTAGCTCGATGATTGCACGATTAAAGATCGGCGGCGAGCAAGGGGGCCAAGTGAGAAGGAGAAGGCCTTCTCAGAAGGCGGCGGGGCTTCTCAGAAGCCCTCCGACCTTCTGAGAGGTTTCCCGTGTCTTCGGAGAAAGCTTAGAACACTTTTCAGGAGGCCCGAGGATTTCCTGGATTTCTCAGAAGGCCCGCCCCTTCTCACTTCCCCCCAGACTGGTTGCAGGCGCATCCCTGGTGGGCTCAAGCCCGCTGTCCCCGCCGCGCTGGCCCACAGGCCCTCTGCGGGGGCGGCGCTCGGAGCGGGGCGGTCAAAGCTCCGAGAGGCCTTCCTACATTGTGACAGTTCGTTTGACAGTCCCAGGCTCGCCGCCGAAAAGGAGGCCTTTTTGGGCGCTGTGGGTGCCCCTCCTGGGCCGGGGGGGGTCTCCGCGGAGGCCTCCGCGGGGAAGCTCCAGGGGGGGAGGGGGAGGGGGAGGGAGGCAGGAGGAGGAGCAGGAGGGAGGAGGTGGGCTCAGAGCGCGTCGCGTGGTGAACACGCTGCCCTCTTCCACTGTGCCTGCAGGATCCCTGAGGGCCAGCCCATGGTTGATGTGTATGCCGATTGCGCTGCCTTGGTCAAAGGCTGTGCACCAGAGTCTCGTGCTTGGGATGGCCGCACTACTATGGGTGATATCTGGCGTTTCTTGAAGCAGGACGTCAAGGGCCCCTTCCAGATTCACAAAGTCAAGGCTCATGGTACCCTCGAAGGCCTCACCGATCCCAGGGTAATTTCGATCACTCGGGGGAATTCTGGAGCCGATGCATTAGCCAATAACGGTGCGTCCGTTTTCCATATGCCTGGCGATTTGGATCTAGTGACCACTTTAAAAGACAAGTTTTTGGCTGTTTTCTAAAGTCGGCCATGTCGGTTATGTTAAAAGCGTGGCCTTTTGCCCGACAGTTGCATGGTCAGCTTGAGCGAATCCCTCGTGCACCGCGGCCCCATGGCCTGTCTCGCGCGCATCACCTCAGGTGGGATGGGTGCAGATGGAGGTGTGCCCAGTGTGCCAAGTGCTTCCGCTACCCATCAACAACCACGGGGATCTGCGAGGCCCTCACCTCTCCCATGCAGAATCTACTTCGAATTAAACGACGGCGTGATCACTTGTGGATGGTCTCGCGCACTGTTGTGCACCAGTCGCGTGTCTTTTTTTGCAATCGTTGTGGGTCGTACACATCTGGCAGTGTTGCGTCCAAACAGTTACAGACAGATTACCTTGCTGAAAAGCCTAAGCAGCTCAGTGTGCTAAGGCGAGGTTTTCTGCCATGGCCGAAGAAGACCAGGATTTGCACTCCATGGCCAGTGCGCCAGTGCCAGGAGTGGTGGGGATTTTGTAGGCGGTGATGAGAGGCGCACCGATCCCAGCTTGCTGGTGGCGATTGTGACCTCCTCAACTATCGCGCGGTGTGCATTTTCCTCGCTGAGCCGTCCATCCCCATATATATATATATGTATATATATATATATATATATATATATATATATATATATATATATATATATATATATGAATATTTATCCATTGCTCACAAGTCGCTCGTTGAATGGGTTGTGAGGAGCATGAGCCGAGGAAAAAAGGGGGAAGTGGAGACCCAAGACACATCAACGATGTTGGAATAAACCCTCCCTCAAAGCTCCTTCTTCATAGGCCCCTATGAGGATTTAAATTTACCAAATGAACTGCCTCGTTCGGAGACAACCGTTTGAAGACCCTGAAGAGTGCCAAAACACGATTCACGGGACTCCGACGCCACGAATCAACCTGATTGTTGCGTCTTGTCTCCTTGGGGGGGAGGAGGAGGTGGAGGAGGAGGAGGAGGAGTACGATCGGTACGCCGCCCCCCTTCCTCCCCCACAGCTGCGCAAGTGGGCAATCGCATACACACACATACATATATATATATATATATATATATATATATATACATATATATATATGCACATATATATATATATATACATACACATTCGCGCACACGCGAAAACCGCAGAGCAGCGCGGGGGCCCGCCTCTGCACGAGCACCGCGCGGGCGACGCAGAGCAACGGATTCGATTTTGCCAACATCCGCGCGCAAGCTGCCCGCGCAAGGGCGCGCGCAAGCTCCCTCGTCTCCAGCGCAGCGTGCCGCGGTGGCGGCCCGCGTAAGCCGCGGCGCAAGCTCGCGTAAGGCCTGTTTTTGATCGTCGTCAAGGCAAATGCCAAGGCACGCTCAGAATGCATGTGCACAAAGTAACATCATTTGGACAGTAATTGCTGCCATTCCGGGAGATACCTGGAGAGGCGCAGCGCGGCAGTACAGCCGGACGCGCTGATTTGCCTTCCTTTGCTAATCTGCATGCGCACGCGGCTGCTCATTATTATTATTATTATTATTATTATTATTATTACCATTATTATTGATATTATTATTACTATTATCATCATCGGTATCATTATTATTAGTATCGTTATTATTCAGCTGGGGACCAGTATACCCCTCGAATCTCGAAAGGAACAGCCCATGCCCCCATCCAGGGGGATACATCGGCCCCTCTTCTCCACGCGGTGTGCCACGCGGGCGACTCCCGTGAGCCACCGCGTGGGGAAGCTGCGCCATCTCGCGCAAGACCCGTTTCTCTTCGTCGCCGCGTGCTTCTGGCGCGGTGCGCGGCGCGCTCGGTCTCTCTCTCTCTCTCGAGCTGGGCGCCCTCTCCGGCGCCGCCCGCTGGCCGAGCGAGCAGACCTGCGGCCTCAGGGTGGAGGCGAGGTCCGCCCGGCGCGCCGAGGTCCGGCTGCAGCAGGCCCACGATGCGCTGGTGGGTCGCATCGACAAGGCCTCCGCTCCTCCGCCGGGGGGGCTGGAGGGCATTTTCGCTCCTCGCAAGCAGTGACGAAGCTTCCAGGCGCGCCTATAGGCTTATGATGTTCCAACTTATTTTTAGCCTTGATCACCAGAAATATTTTCGATCACCGAAACTCGAGGGTTTTCACGTGTCGGGCCCTGGGATACACTCGCCCGACACTGTTTCGACACTCTTTCGACACCGTTCCGGGTGTTCGAAATTATTTATGGATATGGTCCTTAAGTACGATGGGAGCAACATAGTTGTAGGCCCACCAGAGAATGTTCAAAACACTTGTTTTGTGGTTTCCACGAAGTGTTATTAGAACATGTTTGGCTGGGACTGTGTTGTTTTAACACATCGGGTTTATGTTCTAAGAACATTGCTTTTGATATTACAACACTTCTGGGTTCTAAGAACATGTCGTGGTAGGCCTATGGGAATTGCCGGGACGGTCGGTCCCTGCTCAAACTGGGTTCCTCTATTTCATAACGCCGAACAGCTGCGCAGCATGCGCGCACCTTGCATGAAGAGATATTTTGCGCGAGCGGGCGGCTGAAGATGACCAGGCAAACTATCCTGAGGGAGTCCTGGAAAACCACGCTGGTGACGGAGCGTCCGCTGGAGGCACCCTTGTGGGATCCAAACCCAGTCCATCGATGGTTTCGCAGCTGAAGCAACTTTGTCGCAGTGAGCGTTTTGAGATAACCCGGCTCTGGGACGACAACAGCTCATCTTACGAAACGTCCTCTGAAAGCATGGGATCAGCACTGCCAGACGGCGCTCGACGCCGGCAGGGGGTGTTAAGGCCCAGTAGCACGACCCCCCCCCTTAAGTTTCGTTCAGTGCGTCGCCCGCGCGCCGGCCCTAATTTGCGGCTTTGTCCCAAATTTTGCCCTCCCACAGTGCGCGGGCGACATGTGGCGCAACTTCGGAATTTCGCTGATGACGCATTGGTCCCCGACGTTGGCGCAACAGCAGCCAGTCTGGCGGTCGTGGCGCACGCATAGTTCGACGGTCCGCCAACGCGCTGTGTTTCACATTCGCCACAAAAGGATTCACTGGTGCGTCTTTTCGGGGAGCGCCACTGAGGACGAAGACGCCTCGCGTTGATTGGGGGCTGCGCGCGTCGTGCCACGGCGGGGGTGACGTCACGTCGCGCGACGCGGCGCCATTTCGCCCCGCCGCATCGCGCCCCGCGCCCCCATGTTGTTTCGCGCCAAACCCCCTGCCCCTCTCCCCCCTTCCCCTTCCCCTCGTCGTGCGCGCTGCGCGTCTTGTCTCGTTTGCGAATGTATAGGAAGTTTTTTGTTGTGTCAGGCTTCCGTCTTGTCCCCTTTCCCTACTCACCTCTCTGTTGTCCTTCCGCCCTCCTGAAACTTCCCTCTCGCCATCCTGGCCCCCGCCGCCCCTTTTCGATTGCCTCCCATCGCTCCCGCCGCCGCTGCGCCGTCCCCGCGCGCCTCCTCCTCGCCCGTCCGTTCCCTTTTCCGCCCGCCCTTCCCCCGCCTCACTTCCCTCTTTCTCCCCCCGCTGCATCGGCGGGCGAGACGTCGCCAAGTTGTTGCAGTGACGAATCGATGTTCAAATTCTGACGGGGCGCGCGCGCGCTTGAAATCGATTCCCCCGCGCGCGCTGCATCTCCACGTCGTCGGTCTTTTCGCGCTCGCAGTTCTCACGTGCGTGTGTTGCTCTTGTTGCGATTGTCGCGCGCATTCCTGGATTGATTCGCCAGCGAGCCGCGCCGTTCACGCGCCGTCAGAAGTCCACGGCGCCCTTCGAGCGATTCGCGCGCGACCTGCGTGCGACGCACAAACGGCCCGAGCGACGCGCGCGCGACGCGCCCCCGCCGGCGCGCGACGCCCGAACGATCCGCGCGACGCACGCGCGAAGCAACCGCGCGAAGCAAGCGCGACGCACGCGCGACGCACGCGCGACGCATGCGGGGCGCAGTCTCGACCTTGCCCGCCTTTAGCTCTTCCCCGAACAGCAATGCGCAGGGGATGTCGGCCCGCCGCGCTTGCGCTGTCCACGAGTGGCGGCGGCTGCGTCTTCATTTGTGCCAGGAAGGCCAGTGCTTCGCCCCTCTTCCCCCCCTTCCTCCTCCCGCGTCGTCCCTCCTCCTTCGTCGCTCCTCCTCCTTCGTCATCCCACCTGCCTCCTCTCCCCCTCTCTCCCCTTGTCCTTTTCCTTTTTCCCCGCTTCCCTCTGGCCCCCCCTCCTCCCACCTCTCTCGTCTTTGTTTGTTTCCCCTTTGCCATCCCCTGTCACTCTTCATGTTCGTTTTTCTCGTTCGGCACCCCCTCCGCGGCCGCGGCCGCCATGCGTGAAAAGTCCCCGCCGCCGGCGTTGGAAGATGAGGATTCTGAGGAGGGGTGGGTGGGGGGGGGGGGGGCGGGGGCAGGGGCGCGAGGCGAGCGCGGCGGCAACGGCGGCCCGGCGGGGGAAAGGGGGGGGAGGGAGGAGGACGCAGTGAAATGGGTGTTTTTGTGATGGTCATATCGGCGATCACGGTCGCAATCGCGGTTGTCGCCTTGGTCGTGATGGCGGTGGTCGCGCTGCTGGTGGTGGGCGGGCTGGTGGTGGTCACGTTGGTGATCGTGCTGGCGTCGGTCGTTGTGGTTGTCGCGAACAGCGCGGTGGTCAGGACGCCCGAAATGGGCGCGGAAAGAATGGGCGCAATGCCCAACAGCAAATGTTGCCCCAAACCAACAGCGGCCGCTGTTGGGTAGGCGGTCTTCTGTCTCAAACGAACGCATGCCGCGGTGGCGCGGACAGCGAATTCTGTTCAAAATGATCAAGAATTGCTGTCGGTCTTTGTACTGATTCTTCCCGTACCCATGTCGGGCGTCCCGAGGTGGTCATGGTGGTAGTGGCGGTAAAGGTGACGGTCAATATCTTCGCTGTGGACGCGGTTGCGGTCGTGGCCGTGTGTGATGAGCGTGGCGATGGTAGTCATGGCGCTGGCGGTGGTCGCGGCGGCTGCGGTAGCGGCTGCGGTGACCTAGCGCCCGAGTGCCCGAGTGCGTTCAGCAGCGTTGCGAAATTTTAATGTTCGGGGGATTTGGTGATCTGCCGAGGTAACCCAGCAGCCGCCTTCCCACCAAGGGAACCGCCGCGTGGGCCACATTCTTTTTTTCCGCAGGCGACCGGCTTTTTCGGCGGCCGTGGAGCGGGCGACGCGCGTGCGATCCTCCCCGTGGGTGCCCACCACGCTGGCGACGCACTCGCCAAAATGCTCCCTTGTGAAGGCGACGCACACGTTCGCGAGGACGGCGGGCCTTTTCAGCAGCTGACGCACGGGCTGCGCACGGGCGACGAACGCGCGACGCACCCCCTGTCGCGAAGGGGGGGGGTCAGCACGCCGGTCGTGTTATTGGGCCTCAACAGCAGGGGGTGCCGAGGGCCAACGCTGCATGTTTTGAGCGTTTTCTGCGCGGCTGGGATTTGGACTTGAGCGCAATCGCCACATGCGTGGACATGGCTGACGTTATGGGCAGATCGTCATCTTTGCTAGAGCACGAATCCCCAGTCAGAAGTGGAGTGCGCGCGCGGTTATATACATTGCATGTTTCTGCGTTGGCGCCTGTGTTCGTTGAAACGTTCAATGAGCTCACGCGCGGGGGTGCTGCCGTGCCAAGTCATTTGACCGACTTCGCACGGTTTGCACTTCCGAAGAAGGCAGGCGCCGACGCACTGAGCCTTGTGCGTGATCGGGAGTTACCAAACGATGATGCGATGATAATGGTCCGTATATGTGTAATTCCCCGATCGTGCCGCCTCGGAGCAGCTCGTCAGACGGCAACAGGCTTTTGTCACAGGTGGGCATGTCGAACTCGAACGCAACATCATCGGCATCTCGGAGGCCACTGCCCGTGCCCAGCGATGCCCATCAGCTTTGCGCTTTGTGATGTTTCTTGATTCCACGGAAGGGTTCAATTGTCTCCTTATGGGAGTGGGTAGGGGCAGTTTTTGAGCACGCTCGTCTGCCGCAGCGGATCGCCCAGGTTGTTTTCAAGCTGACGCATTGCCATAGAGCTTACCCGCGTTTCTCTGGACATGTCCTTCCGGCATTAAAACTGCAAGCGGGGTAAAGTCATGGTCATTTTCTCCGCGTTTTTTTTACATCATCGGAGTGGATTTGTTGTTGTACCAAGCCGCGCAATTGCCAGGGGTGGATCATGTTGGTTTTTTTTGCGATGATTGGAACATCGATTCCGACGGCAGTACTGCAATGGTGCATGTCTTCGATTTGGTAAGGGTTTTTGAGCAAGAGTCAGGACAAGCCATCAACAGAGCCAGGAAATGTTGGATGCCCAATCGTGCCCTTGCACAACATGGGTTGCAATGTTTGCATTCGCTGTTCGAAGATCCCCGCATTGTGCGCCAGCGCAAATCTCTGGATTATGGTACGGGCCTGGCGCGAGCGAAGCCGATGTCGCGGCTGATTTGGGAGCCAAGTTGAGGCAGAGGCCCGCTATCCTGAGGCAGGCCAGCACAGGTTTTGATGCGAGGGCCCCCGCTTGCAACGTGTTTGCTCTGCCGCTGATTCCGTACATCATGGAATTCCATTTCTTCAGTGAAGTTGTTTTCAACGAGGTTCGTGGAATGGCGTCGTCCTTCCTTGCTTGAGCGCGTGAGTTGGTGCCCTTTTCCTGTGTTGTGCCGCCACGCGATAATTCTGTTTCGTACATCGTACGAAGCTGCGGACCCGTTCCTGGTGAATGTTGCTGCTCTGTTCTCTCTTTTTCGTTCCGGATGGAAAAGGCGAGTTGGATTGATCTGCGGCAGGTCATGACGAGCATGCGTGATCTTGCGGCGCCGGCTGCAAACTCAAACTCGCGACCGTTGTCGTCCTACCCGAAAGCATTCGGAACATTTTCGACGATCACGGGACACACGGTATCCCAGACAGTATCGTGTTTTGTATCGTTACTTCCATAAGGCCGAGGCTCGCGGAGCAGCAGCGCCTGTCAGGATGCTGCTCGGTGCGCGCGGCCACTCCTGGGACAATGTTGACCAGAATTTGCGGACAAATCCGTCGAGAGTTCCTGCAGAGCACCGGCTTGCCATCATGAGGACATTTCTGAATGGCGAGTTTACCTCGCACAGGTTGGCGCTATTGACTGGTAATTCGGCGTTGCCTTGCCCGTTCTGTGGCGTTTCTAGTGGGGATTCGATCAGTCACCGATGTTTGCCCTGAACTTGCATCTCTACAAACCAGTTTTCCTACGCCACACGCTCAACTCACACCCCGTGACATGTGGCTCCAGAGCCTGCTTCCGCGTGCTTCTATCCTGCAGCGTGCTTTGGCGTTCAATAGTGCGGTTGCGCGCTTGCGTTGCTTGCTACTGGACGGGAGGCGTTTCCATTTCTTTAATGACATGGTCCAGCACGCCAAGCGATTGTGCAATTTCCCATGATCAACGGGGAACACTGCCATCACGACACGGCAGGAACGCCGACGGATGCGAGTGCAGCCGCTTGAGTTTGAAACAGGTGTCGTGGTCTATGCCTCTGACGGCGCAGTGCGCAACCAAGGCATCGCAATCGAACGTCAGGCCTCATACGTTTGTGTGCGCCGTGTCGATGGAGCCTGCATAGTCGACGCTATTTGTGGTTGCTTATTGGGGATGTTAGCAATAACCATGCCGAATATGCGGTCCTGTTAGAAAGCATGCAGCCAGGAATAACATCGCACCGTCTTTCGTGTTCCTTGTTGACTCCATGTTGGTAGGGAATCAGGTAAATGGCAAGTGGAGATGCAGAACGCTGTCTTCGGGAGCTGTATGAGAGAGCGTTGGCATTGCTCCAGACACTGCGACCCGAGCCAGGTGTGCAGTCGGCTCAGGTCTGGCATGCATACCGGGAGTAGAATACCGATGCGGACGGCGTGTGCAATGAAGTTTTGGAGGCCGTCGTCGCCGGCGCCCGTCCAGTTTCAGAGGGTTGCCACGTGTGGAACAATTGGAGGCCGTGTGCGAGGTCTTCTAGTGCCCCTGCCTACGCTATCGTTCTGAGCTGGGGTGCGTGCGCCTGGAGCGCGATGCCGAGCGCAGGTCTCCCCTTCCCTGGCCCGCCCCGCTACTATTTCTTAGCGGTTTTGCGGTCTCCGCGTGGCGATTTTCACGCCACGGCGAAGATATGACGGGTGTGCTTCTTCTGGGGGCGCAACTACAGCGAACCCCTTCAATCCAGATATCGGCACGTTGGCTCCGCATTGTGCCGTCTACCACACCCATACCGCCTGTCTCACAGGCACAGTCTTATGGTCATAGTACATTGTTGGTTTCAATTCCTGTGGCCCTAGACACGGGCGCCGCCTCCAGGAGATAATCCGTGACGTGCGCACCCTGCCGTTGCAGCGCATGGCTCTTTATCGCCGCTGTATCCCCACTAATTCTTGAGACCACACCAGGCAAGCAACTGCAACTTGCGCTGAGAAAAAATGCTGTGGGGACGGAGTAGACGGGGTCGGAGGATCGCGCCGCATTGCCGATGCATCGGAGATGCGGTTCGATGTGCAGCATACTCGGAGCAAGAGGAAGAGGAGGTGCCAATTTTGGGACGAGTCCTAGCCACCGCAGAGAGAAAAGGGGAGGACCAAGGCAAAAGACCTCCCTCGGTTATTCTTGTTGGCACAATGTCGCTGGCAAGTTTTACGCCTCATGGTTGGAATTTCAGATCTGGCCAGGCTCCCTTGTTTTCTCCTTCTGTTATTCTTCCTCCTCTTCCCTCAAATTCCGCATCAAACTCCATCCCCTCCGATCCATCGCCTCTCCAAGTTGGCGCAGCTGTCATCGTAGTCGCCGCCGTCGTTGTCGTCGATGTCGCCGCCGATACGGCCCCGTCAGAAGTCCAGACCCTTTGCCCAGGGCCGGCTGTTCATCGTGAGCGTTCTTGGACGGCCCCGAGGCCCCGGCAAGGGCCTCGAAAGGCTGAGAACGTCGAGCGATTTCCGCCCTGTTTTTTTTCTCAATGCGTTGGGTGTCTGGGGATGCCGGCCGCGCCGCCCCCGATTGTTGTCGCCCTCGTCGCCCCTGCGCCCGTCGCCGTCGCCGCCGCCGCCGCGGCGGCGGCAGGTCGAGGCGGCTGCCGTTTCGGAGCAGGCCGCGCGGGCCAGTGGGCAGCAGCAGGCGCCCTCCCCGCGCGTCGTCGCCGTCGCCGTCGCCGTCGCCGCGCCGTCGCCGTCGCCGTCGCCGTCGCCGTCGCCGTCGTCGTCGTCGTCGTCGTCGTCGTCGTCGTCGTCGTCGTCGTCGTCGTCGTCGTCGTCGTCATCGTCGTCGTCGTTATCGTCGTTATCGTTGTTACCGTCGTCGTCGTCGTCGTCGCAGGTCCCCGAGATCCGGGAGTTGCGTTCTTTTTGTTCTTTTCACATCAGGCGTTTTCGCCTAGTGTCGGGCTCGAGAAATGCCGCAGCAAGGTGGGGCCCAGGGCTCTGGTCGTGAAGTTTCACGATGTCGCAATGTTTTCGCGACGTCGGATCTCAGGGGCGGAGGAGGTGGTGGTGGCCGTGGTGCTGCTGCTGCGCGGGGAGTGCGGACGGACTCTTGCAGAGCGGTCGAGTCCTCGCCCGAGCTTCTGCAGGAGGCTTTGGGACTCAGGCTTGGGCCCTGGGCCCAGGGCAGCGGCTTCGACCGAGCGTGCCCGACCAAGCACGCCGAAGGGAGCTCGCGCTCAACCGATGCACCAGGCGCACCGCCCCCCAGATCGCGGTTTGGTGCAGGATCATCACGTGGTGCGGGGCGGAAGTCTCGCTCCACCCAGGGCCAATGTCACACTGTGGTGACTGGCCTTGTTGCTGGCGCTTTATGAAAGCTCCAGCTTCTCTGGCTGCTCTTTAAAGTGGGGTCTGCAGAGAGGTTCTCGCGCGGGTGCCTGCTCGCGCACAGAAGACGCCGCTGGGTTCCAACGCCTGGGCGTTTGAAACTCCCCCACAGAGATTGGCCAGCTTCGCACAATTTGATTCGCTGTACTTACCACACACCCTGCATGCAAGAATAAAATTTTGGCAATGAATAGCCTCACAAACATACAGCAGGTGCCCCTGGGGGTTTTCCAGGAGGGCCGAAAACACAGTGTGGTATCCCTGGCACGGGGTGAATTCCTGATCCTGGAAATTCTCGTCTGGGCACCTGGTCTTACAGGTTGCGCAAGACCACTTTTTGTTCCCACCCCACTCCCACGAGTGAGGTGGGGTGGGTGCCTGCAGCCACGTGTCCCTGGCGGCTTTAGCGCCAGTCGGGACCGATGGGGCCTGCGGGACTCTACATTCATAGTTTTGCTTGCTGATTCTAGGCCCGAAGGGGTCCCAGAGGCTTAAAGCTTTGGCATCATATCGCAGCCACTCCATAACAAAATTCCTGCTGGCGTCCTGCAACTCAACTTCTACACTGGCCGAACGCGCCAGGGTGGCTGCTCCTAGCTTGGCAAATCTATCGGCGAAATCATTTCCAGTGGCATCGAGCCACTTCGCAGATCTGACTCTGGGGATGGCGCGGTCCAGGTGCGCTCTTATCTTCGCGCAACAAAAGTTATCATGCCACCCCCTGCTACCCTTGGACATCATGGCAAGGCCAGCATATCGGTGCTTCCGATGGTGCTGGTGGCATTCGCACTCATCTACAATTCCTTTATAATCATTGATTATATCCGTACTTGAGCGAGGGGAGGAGAAGGATACAGCAGCAACCACAGCAAGAAGCTCCACCGAGGGAGAAGAACGAGGGAGATTGCTGCCTACGGGCCCATACAGGGCTCCTTCTAGATCCTTTTGCTCGTAAAAACCATCTGCTGCAACTCCTGCTGTGTGATACTTGGGGTGCCCTTCCTTTTGGCACTCCCCGTCCGTGTAATCCTTTCCTCGGAAAACTTCTTGGGGCGTCTTGCCCTCCGTTTTGCTCCAAAACTTGACCGTGGTCGGAACGATCCCGAGGCCAGCGGGAGGGCAACCGAAAATCCGTGCTTCCGCTGGTTACCAGCCTGGATCGGAAACTCTGACATATCCTAGAGTTGTTCTTCATCCAAACTGGTGAAACACTCAGCACGGAGGGCGTCAGTCGGGGGGGCAACTCACTAGCCTATATTGTAGATCATCTGATTGATGTCCGCACGCACATGCTCCAGCTCGATTCTGGGCTTGTAGTTTGGGTGCCCTTCCTTTTTGCTTATTGGACCTGTCTCGAAGTTTTGTGTTGATGTCTCTGCTTCGCTTCAGGCCTGCTCGAAAGTCATCTCCTAGATTAGCTGCATGTGTCGGTGTCGTGCCCGAGTAACGTCCGATGCTCTTGGCGAGCTGCTTCTGGATGTCTACTGACAGGACGAGCACTGTAGACTTGGCAATCGCGAACTCACAGCCTAAATCGTATTGTACTGCGGCCAAGAGACTAGCTGCTGCTCTGCTAAGTTCTCTCACAGCCGTCTTTTTGCATACAAGAGAGGAGAGCAGCAGCAGGTCATCGATAAACATATGCAACGAGCCCTTGACATTGAACGTCCAAATGCCGAGCGGGGCGGTGCAGTACCTTTGGCCCAAAAAGGTGGCGAAGCTGCATCCTGCTGGTATTCCTAAGAAAGGGGGGCCTGCAAACGATGTTTGACTGTTTGACGTTATCGACCTTTGACTTTGCCATTGGTACATGATGATCGGCATGAGGGCCCCATTGAAGCTTGATTTGGGATCCCGTTGGTGGATCACCTTCCTATCAATATGCTCGTAGTAATTGTTGAGGTCCCACATGACGGAGGCTCTGTGGAGAGGGGAGTCTTGCACTGCACCACTTTCGGCTTGAAGGGCCTGCTGATAAGCAAGTACGGTAGACCTGCCTGACTGATATGCAAGGTAGTTCCGACGATTATCGAATTCCCACTTCCTAGCCTCCTCTTGCCTGTCCCTTGCCCATATGCGACACAGACTTGGCATCAAAACGATCCCTCTGTAGGCCGTGATCACGGCCACCAGCTTCTGCGGCATGCCACCAACTCGATCCACGATGGACAGCAGCCAACGGACCCTGCTGAGAGAGACGATCAAAATGGCGAGGACGGCACTCGTCCCAAGTCTCTGCCGATGCATGACTGAATTTCTTGATCGATCGTCTGGGGACCTGCAGGGTTATTGGCGGGAGGTCGGCAGCAGCTCGGGGGTCTCCAGGGATCTTGTCGGGGGGCCTGGCCCATGGTATCCCAGATGTCGGTGAGGCGTCGGACTTCTGCGTGCAGCAGTTCAGTAGGGCAACCAGATAAATCCTCATCAACTTTCCAATCGTGTCCTGGCCTCCAGTGTTGTTTCGCCGTGGACCATCTATGGGCCCATCCCACTCCCGAAGTCGTGCGGTCTACCACCTGAACTAGTTCTTTAGCCCTTGCATAACTCTCCTCTGGTTCGTCCCCTTGCTGCAGATCCTGCTGCAGAGTGGAGACGAGGCGGCCGAAGTGGCAGAGCATGCCGTGCAGCTCGTCCGACTCTTGAAACTCGGTCGGAGGCCCCGCCAATGCCTGCAACAGCACGGTTGGCACACGAAAATCCTTGCGGGACAAGATGCGCTGCGCCTCCAAGCATTGATTGAGGAACCAGCGGGTGGGGCGCCAAAAGGATTTCCATTCGGCTCGATGCTGGCCTTCAACGGCTTTTGCAGACATCCACATCAACTTGGGAAACCAATTCGACTTTCTGGTTGGTGGAGGGGGGTGTCGGTCGTTCGGCAGATCGTGACATCCATTTCAGAAGCCGTAAATTCGTAGACCTTGTCTAATGCTGCTCTCTGCTGCTCCTCATCCACTCCTAAGTCCAGGATCTGCTCCAGGGTGTCCAGGGCGGCCGTAGTATAGATCCAGGGTAGATTAACTTTACTGGGTCCGACAGGGCGCCTTGCGGGGAGCTTCAGGGGCTCGCAGAGGACGGGAAACATGAGCTCGGAGCCTTTCCCTACGATTAGCTTGACATGCCTGTGGGGGAACAGCGGGTCCTGCATGAGCCCGTCGATCGCCTGCACCGAGCTTTTGATGCAGGAGCTCAGCATGAAATACTCTATCTTGCTGCGGGGCCTGCTATTGATAAATGTGTGCCCTGATGGATGCACTAACTCCCTGCCAGCACGCTCCAGAACTCCTGATTTGGTAACTACTGACAGGGTCATGTGGAAAACTGCTTCTATGAAAACTGGCATTCGATACTTCTGCTGGTACCATCCTGCTGTCGCAAGCAGGCGCAGGTTCGTCTCCGCTAGGTTCTCCGTCGCCTCGAAGTGGCAGGAGAGATACACTATGGGTCGTCTGTGTCCTGGTAGCTCAGGAATGGCTGCCGACGCCCTGCTTGGCGATATATGCTGAGGGAGTAGAGTAGGTTGTACGCCCATGTTCATTCCCTTCTTTACTAATATGCACGTTCCACATGATGGGTAATTGTTTTCGCTGGTGCCGCTGTCGAAAATGATGTCGTGCCATCCTCGAACTTCGCACCACAGAAATGATTGAGAGACCTTATCACTCAGGTCCTGACATTCTGAGCGAGAGAGATCCCAGCATTCTCTCCTTCTGAAGATTGAACTAGCTTTTGCACTGCGTTCCATGCATTCCAACAACTGGCGTCGATGGCGATGATGACCATGGACTTGGCCTTGTTATCCTGACTGCGGCCCTGCCGATGGGCCCTTGCCGCGCGCGCCCTTCGCCAGGAGGGCTGCCTTTGCTGACAGGGGGTCAGCCTTTGCCTTCTTGGCTCGCTCGTCCTCAGTCTTCGGGATGGAGCCCATGGCCTGCTGGAGCGAGCTGGCCTCGCTCGCGAGCCGCTTGCTGTTGTGCTCGACACTCGTGTCCATGTGGGCGCCATCGTCGTTGTTGTTGTTGTTGTCGCCCTTGTCCTGGGGCGGCATGCCTGCCACCCGCTCAGGCGATCTCGGCGAGGCCGATGCCGGCGTTGGTGGCTGCTGCTGCTGTGACTGCTCGAGCGGCTGCTGCTGCGCCTGGGCGGCTGCGGGCGGCTGTGTTGCTGCAGTCTCTGGCGGCTGCTGCTGCGCCTTGGCGTCTGTAGCTTCTGGCGGTTGCTGCTGCTGCTGCTGCTGCGCCACTGTCTCTCGGATGCTGTTCTCCAAGGTGGCCACTTGTTGTTGAATATGTGTCGGTACACCCGTGACTG